GACAATGTATGCAAAGAAAAAAGCATACATGTGTGGTAACCAGGTACGAGATATATGCGTCTTTTGTCCCGTCATTTTCTTTGAGCGGAGAATCAACCTGGCATTCGAGAACGCCATCGCCGATGCCCGCCAGGTCGACGGCGTCGGCTAGCGGGCCGGCCTGAGGCTCTTCTTGGGCGGAGCTCATTCTCCGCTTGCCATTGGTGTCGTGATGAGGTTCACTGGGTTCTCCAGAATCTGTACCTGCAGTTGTCGGCCGCGAGGTATCGCTGTCTGGGTCGTGCTTCCAAGACACACTGTCAAAGTCGTCATGTTGATCCATCGTGGGGGTGTCGGTCGGCCGTGGTCAACCGGCTGATAGTTGTTGAAACCCCAGTGATGCCGATAAATCAATATTTGCAGGAAATGTTTGATCAAGGAGTGATAGGGACTGAAAGGGCTAGAGATGTGGAGTGGAGGGGGAGGTGGAGGTTGGAGCTAAGTTCAATGATCGCCGTTCCCCAAGGCGGAGTTCCAGAAGCGGAACGTCATCATCGCAATGAATGTCAATAAGAGTTGCTTGCTGCTTGCTACTTGGTCCTTTCGCTTTCTTATACTTATATTATTATTCTAAGATTCATCGAGATTGCTTCATCTGATATTTATTTGTAGTATACACAACACGCTTTTGGATTCCTGTCAACTGGGGATATACAGACAGACCTAGGATCCCAACCCGTCTATTCCTAACGAACGATCCTCTCAATTCAACAATCAAGTCAACATAGCAATCGACAACACCGAACAAGATGCAAAATGACTATCGACATTATATTAAGGTTTTGGTAGATGGGGGCCACCGTGAGACGTTCCATCTCCATTGTCTTTTTCCGGGATATTGGCCAACCCATCGCGATACGGCTGATCATCATCATCATCACTGAACATTTCCTCGTCACTCTCCCCAGCAAATGCATTATACAGCTCACCGCCACGACGCTGTGTTCGACCAGATGCTCCAGTCATCGGTTGCATCTCATCTTCATCCTCAATCATTTCAAACTCGTAGTCATCGTGAGCAGTGGTGCGACGACGCTTGACCCTCTGCAGCTGGAAGTAGACACCCAATCCAATGAAGAAGGTAACGATCATGGCCATGGATGCATAAATCCAAATCTGTGTACGCTTCGAAGCACCGAAAGTGGGAAGCCAAGAGGATATGTAGCCTGATCCGGCGGACGAAGCAGAGGGCGTTTCAGCCTCATTGCTAGTAGTACTCGTGGGCAGCTTCACATCTTCAATTGGCGTGGGGTTTGTGGTTGTTGGTTTTGGCTTTGGCTTTGCGTTCACAGGCCGGTCATGATGGTCATCCGGGTTAGGAGCTGGGGTCTTTGTTGGGGCCGCCGTAACACTAGTCGTGGCTACAGGAGCATCCTCGTAAGGATGGTCGTCGTCGTGGTCATCGGGCAGGGGGTGGAGCTCTTGTTTAGCTCCATCGGCGGCCTCACCCCACAGATTGAGTCGCCAATCAATGAATGCGCCGGTGAATTCATTGACATTGGAGTCTTTCACGATGATGGACCAATCGCCAATAGGTGATTCACCCCTAAGAATAAATTAGCAAAGCGTATATCATGGAATTGGCAGCAACACATACCAATGAGCAACAGACATGAAAGTCCAATCCTCATACCCAACCGGCATGACATCCTTTTCGCGGGCAACACTCAGATAGCTGATGATTCCAGCGGGGCTGCGCAGCTCAACGCTGATGTCGCCGCGGCGGGTGTGATTGGCATTCATAGTCACAGTGACATGTTCCAATTTAGCGAAGTTGGCCTCTTTCAATTGATCAGCAGTTACCGTATAGTGACTGAGCAGACCCCGATCACCCTGGGGGATCTCTTGGTGCACTCGCAGCCATGGCGAGTTGAACCACGCTTGAGGCTTCACGAGATCCCAAGTCTTAGCAAGCTGGACCATGGTATATGTATCGACCTTTCCGAAACCCCAGTCGTGGCTGAACTTGCGGCCAGAGGGCAGGTTCTGCCAGCTACCGTCGTCTTCGCTCACGGGGACCGCCGTCTCCACCATCAAGTACTGTAAATCACGCCAGGTCAGCTCCGGGCGTGCACTGAGCGCGAGCGCCACGCTGCCTGCGGCCAGCGGACCAGCCGCAGAGGTGCCACCATGTCCAGCGGAGCACTCTCTTGCACCGACGTCGGTAGTGTGAATATAAGCACCGGAGCCGCTACTGTATGCGACCACAAGTTGGGCCGAGCATGACTCGGAGTAAGGCGGGTGATTCCCTTCCCGGTCTATGGCACCGACTGTAATACTGTAGATACTGTTGGTATACCCATCGAAGTTGCAGTTGTCCCCGTAGGACGCACCGTTACCGGCGGCAAAGACATAGACAGAGCCTTTACCCCCTCTGCCCTTTTGGATACCGTTGACCATGGCGCGCTTGATCAAGATTCCAGGCGCATCCATAGTAGCACCATCGTCGATAGGCCCCCATGAACATGAATATATGTCATTCTTCTGGTAGGCGTAGTTAATAGCCGCCGCTTCATCGACATCATCGATAGGCTTGGACAAGATCCGAATGCCGGCTATCTTGCTATCGTACGCAACACCGACTCCACAAACGTCGTTCTTTGCCGCCGCGATCTCGCCGCAGCATCGAGTACCATGCTTATCGTCAAGCAGAAGAGGGCGGGGTTCGGGGAGGCCCTCGTTGAAATCCCAGGAGCCCTCTGGAAGGTAGTTAGGCTTGAGGTCATAGCTATCCATGTCCAGCCCATCGTCGACAACTGCAGTGGCCACGCCCTTGCCGGTTATCCCCTCCAACCACAGTCCTGTCACATTGAGATCGTGTCCGGGCTGTTTTGTGTTGATAAGATGCCATTGTTCTTTGAAGATCGGGTCAGTGATCCCTAGAGTTGACATGGCATCCTTCCGGAAAGCAACGGCCTGCGCATCTTCCCTCTTGTCCAGCGATTTATATGGTACGGAGACCGGCGGAAGTCGTTTCTGCAATCGTTGTCTCGCTGGAGCAATCTTATGCGACCACAGGATCTTGTCTAAGGGGTCATCACTTGACCCGATTGCGCCGGAGCGCCGCCGGAGCTTTCGCCTGGTCCGTAAATCATTCAACAAGGTGTCAAACTGAGGGGTCTGTTCCCGCGGTAATGAAAAAGTGTGGTGGCCATCCAGTTGGCCAATCTGGCCCTCGTGGCGTGCGCCTAGGATCTGTGCGATGTGGGAAGGAGAGGTGGTATCGTCGAGCTGGAGGGCGAAGAAGTCGCGGGTTTCTTGAGAGCGAGGGTGTAGGTTCGCGGACACCGCACCAGCAAGACCTAGGGTGGCGGTGATGCCGCTGACAATGCGCATGATGAGGAATCAATTGTTTTCGAGGAAAGGGATCAAGGGCGGGTTATGAGGTTCGAGGTATCTAGCGGGTGGTTGCCATGGACAGTTCCGGACCGTTGAATAGCAACTTGAGAGTTGTGGTAAGGGGTGTACTCCGTAGGGTGGACAGAAAGGAAATAAGCTTTAACAAGACCCTATTTCCAAGGTTCACAATAGTTGGTAAGAGGAGGTTGTAACAGCAAGACACAATGTTCCAGGCGAAATAGGAGGATCGTCAGAGGTCACCCACGCGAAGTCCTATTGAGTCTCCGGAACGGTCTATTGAGCTCGACTTAGTTGATTTGGACAGAAGCTTTTTCTTTATTAACTACCAGAGAACGTTCGGGGCGTTCTAAGGCCACGGTTTCCACTCTGTTCTCCGTATTGCGTGAGATATTATTATTTAGTTACTTGTCTAGTTCCCAGTGGATGTCCGGGCTCTAATTTAGCTTACGTATAGGCACAGCCTTGGCCCGCCAGGCATACGTAGATAGCTAACTAACAACACTATCCTTACTCCATACTGGAATTCATGACTCGATTGCTTGATATTTGGATGCTACGGGGATTACGGTGTATTTCATCAATAATTCATATCAACTGCAGCAATCGAATAGCTCAAGTCCTTGCATGAGCAACATAGATCTATTGGCTTTCCTCTTTCACTTTAAATCTACTGCCGCCTTATGCTAGGTATAATTGAGTACGCCCTGCGATCACATAATAGCCTGATCCCGGACTGAGATGTACCCAGTTACTAGACACACTTAAAGCGGCACCTGAAATAGGATAAAACAGAACATCGAGGTACTTATGTCTACATGTATGGAGTATATGGATGGATAGATGGATTTTATGTGAAATGATCATGTTATAACTGTGAAACATCGATTCCCAGTATCCAGATACTTACGTTCTATATGTTCGTACTCGCAAATAGGTATGTGGGTAACATAGTACCGAGTCCCCATACCAAATTTAAGAATTATGCTTAATTCTTTATTTCCATTCTATGGTATTTCACTTTTGAATATCTCATATTTACCCTAACGTCTTGGAATCCTGCATGAATATTGCTTTTCCAAGGATCCAAGCCCTCGATAAAGCTTTCGTATGACAGTGGCCCCGCGCGAAGGCTGGGGATAACCAGCCACCGGGTTATCGGATGTATAGACCTTGCTGGTTTATTTTTGGCTGGCTGGACTTGATTGAAATCTTTCACTTCTTTTCATCACATTCTCTGCCATCCCATTGATACCCCTATCCTAGTGTTTATCCGCCTTATAGACAGGCCAACTTCCCTGTCACCGCCGCGTGGACCTATACCCCCGCCCAACTTGGTTTGTTGCCTGCGAATCAGCTCGGGCCATGGTGTGGTGACCCTGCGTTAGGCATCAGATCCAGTCGCATTGAATCCGTTCCATCTATTCCAAGAAAAATTTCGACAAAAGTCAAGTCCGGCAATTTTCCCTAAATCTGTTCGAATTGCCTTCGGGACCGACATTAGCGATATTCGTTGCAGTTGGGTTTGCAATTGCACATACTTGGCGCTCTATCTACGCTTTTTCCAATCATTTCCTTGAGTTTGGGCGCAAATACACGACATCATGGCTACTATGGCAATGCGTCAATCGCCTGATATGGCAAACGGCAGCTCTAACCCCCAGATTTCCAATGGAGCGCAAAGAGCTCCAGCAAGGCGCAATCGTCAAAAGACTCCTTCTGCGGAAAGCTCCGAATACGAGGCGGAATATGATAACCCGAAGACGGCCCAGACCAGTGGGAGCGATGGCCTTGCGCCAGGACAGGGAGACAAGTCTTTCTCGGCCAGGGCCCGAAACCAGCCCGAGGCAAACCTGAACTATACAACCCGCAAGCCGATTCCTCCATCGACACCAGAGTTATCAGAGAAATCGTCCACACCGCGAGGTCTTTCCACAGAGCCCTATCACCCAGAACCCAGTGCAAAAATGCCTGAGATCCAGGTCCAGTCACCACCACCTGCACCAGTTGTGTCTTCGCCCCCGACTCGGTCCAACACCACACGTTCGATCTCCGCCAATGACTCGCGGCCAGACTGGGCATCAGAGCGATCACCTCTTCAAAAGTTGGAGGTAACCTTAACTGGAATCAGCAAGGAAGAGAAGCGAGCACGAGTACAACAGGCAGAAATCAAAGCCCGAGAGCGACTTGCGCGCAAGAAAGCCGAACAAGAGAAAGCCGAATTAGCGGCATCATTAGCACGCGAAGCATCAACACAACGTGCGCAGCCAGAAAGCGAACCATCCCCCGGCGCAGCCAGACGGAATGAACAGAGAGATATTCCAATTGGGGATCGAAAAGAGGACGGCATGCGAAATGGACACGCAGCTACACCACCACAACAGCGACAACCAAGCATAGCTGTGCGTCACAATCGGACAGTTTCAGCAAATCCCCAATATCAATATAACCGCCGCCCCGAAGAACCCCAATATACACGCGCAGAAGCTGCCATCCCACTCTCAGCTAAGATAGGCAATGTGCCTAGGCGATCAGTCACAGTGAGCGGACCTGCCGCGAAACCAGCACCTGCCAACAATATCAGCCACAGTCGATCGATGTCTCAAGCGGGTCCTCGACCTATGAAGGCTTCCGGTGCTCTAAGAGCGGAGACAACAGACGAAATGTTAACACCACCTCGTGCGCAAGATAGCGCCGAGTCGCAAGTCAGGCCCAAGAAACAATCTAAACAGTCTGTGTCTTTCAATGTCCCGCCGCCTACGCCCCCGCCAATCTTTGAATGGAGGAATGCACAGCCTGCTAGGCTTGCGGCCCTTGACTTCGATATCCAGAATTTTGATGTGGAGCGCAGCAAAGCGTGGTGGGCAGGTGCCAGTAACGAAGATCGTAGAAAGAGCAGGGCTCTTCCTAAGAACTACAAATCTCCTGCTCAGAAGCTGACAGGTAAGATCCTCCGTTTTCTAGTTTTCAAGCTAGATTTTTTGTCACCGAAATGCATTTACTAACGCCCACTAGGAATGACTGAGCACAAAAATTTCCAACCCCAGCTATTCTTGCGATGTGGACCTTTGCTACGATACACAGGTATCCAGCGAGCTAGGCTTGATAGAGCCAGCGGCCCCATTGAAAAGGATATATGGCGAGGATCTATCATGATAGTGACTAAAGATTCCCGCTCCTCCTACGACACTCCACCCACACTGAGACTATTCTCTCAACCGATGGATCTTCTTCCTCCTCCACCCGTGGAGATCAGCCATGAAGATGGAATGCAACTGGCTCCTGAATATGTCGACCCAACAGCTGGGCTCATGAAAGTCGGCCGTGATGGGCGGCCCCTTTACGTGAGACCAGTGGAACATGTCGAGGAACAAGTCGACCTATCGTTTGTAGAGAACGACGATGGCATCTACGAGCTCTCACCTAGCATGGTCGACTATACTAGTGAAGGCATCAAACAGCCTATGACTTCCACTCGGATGCCTTCCGTCGACGGTGAGATGGCGAGTTTGTACCGAGACATTCCTGGAGCCCGTCTGTACGCCGATGCCGCAAGAGATGTAACGTTCTGGCGATTCAACCTAGAGGTTGAACTGAGCACAACGCAACAGCGAATCGCCTATCGGATCAACCAGGGACCCGCCCTGGGATTCTGGGTGCCCCCAGCTGGAGAATCCATGAACATTATGTTTCACAGCGGCAACGGGTTCAGCCCCTCTGTGGACTCTGATCGAGTCTGCGGGCCCGATCCGCTTTGGCGAGATATTCTCAATGAGCATCAGACTCGTCCGTTCCATGTAATGATCGGTGGAGGCGATCAAATCTTCAACGACTCGGGTATCACAGAGTCGCCGTTCTTCCAAGAATGGCTTAGGATGAAAAACGCAGCCGAGAGATATGGGGCGTCATTCACTCGCGAGTTCCGAGCTGAATTAGAGCAGTTCTATCTCGACCACTATGCTGCATGGTTCTCTCAGGGCCTCTTCTCGTTGGCGAACTCTCAAATCCCCATGGTCAACATGTGGAATGATCATGAAATATTTGAAGGCTTTGCTTCTTACCACGATGATTTCATGCGGACTTCTGTTATCTCTGGAATTGGAAAGATTGCTTTCAAGTATTACCTGCTGTTCCAGCACCACAGTGTCCCCGATGAAATTGAGGCAGATGAACCCAGCTGGCTTCTTGGTGCTCATCCTGGTCCATATATTGAGCAGAAAAGCCGGAACCTGTTTATGTCTCTTGGTCAAGGGGTTTCATTGTTGGGTCTTGACTGCCGCACTGAACGACGGGTATGTTACTCCAATTTTCCGACTTATGGACTATGCTGACATGTTGCAGAGCAATGAGGTTCTCAGCGAAGAGACCTGTGATTTATTATGGGACCGCTGCCACAGGGAGATCATGAATGGAGAGACAAAACATTTGATCGTTCTTTCAAGTGTCCCTGTTGCTTACCCCCGAGTGGTATGTATTCTGATTGCTTCTGTCTTTGATCGAACCTAAAATTAACGTCGAACCCAGGCAATGCTCCGCAATTTCATGAACAGCCGCAAGTCACTTGGCAAGGCTGGAGTACTTGGCGGGCTTGTCAATCGATCTGGCCCAAATGTGGAGGTCTTTGATGACCATTGGGCTGGCAAGCACCTCAAGTCTGAACGCACATGGTTGATTGAGGATCTCCAGGATCTGGCCGCAGAGAAATCAGTCCGGATCACAATACTCAGGTAAGACCAGAAAAGTCGCTTAACGGCAACCCAAATTCTAAACGATAAAAACTAACGAAATCCTTCAGTGGTGATGTCCATCTCGCTGCAATCGGGCAGTTCTATTCGAATCCCAAATTGAATATCGCCAAAGACCACGATTACCGATACATGCCGAATGTCATTTCATCTGCTATTGCAGACATTCCGGAGACCGATCTTATTGCGGATATGATCAACAAGCGGAGTACGCTCCACCACATGGACTCGAACACCGACGAGGATGTCGTCCCCATCTTTTTCCAGGATGTGAATGGCAAGGCTCGAAACAACAAACGATTACTACCTCGGCGAAACTGGTGTTCGATCCGTGAGTATAAGCCCGGATCTACTCCACCTGATACACCTGAGTCAGAGATAATAGAGGCCCCGGAACCTCGGCCAAATAAGCTGCAGCGGACGTTGTCGCTGGGTCGTGGAGACCAGGGATCTACCGGGAAGCCTGGTATTCTCAGGCGCCTTTCCACCCGTGGACCACCTCCTACGAGGACTATGAGCTTCAATCGTGGCGATGAAGCTACTTTCAATCGACGTGCAAGCTTGGATGGGCCTACTCAGCCCCACGAGAACGGAGACAGCTATTTCCCAGGGACCGGAGCCGCGCCACCTCCACGACCCGGCAGCTTCCACCGGCGACCAACAAATCTCAGCCAAAAAGCGGCAAGGAAAGCGGCGAAGATGGGAGATAACGGCGCAGGCGCCTACATCAACCTCGAGGGCGGGCTCGCCATCACTTTGAACCTCGAGATCAGTCCACAAGACCCATCTGGGGTCACCGCACCCTACAAACTGCTCGTCCCAGCACTACACTACAACGGAACCGAGTACGACCCGCCCCCAGCGCAGATTGTCAAGGGCTGGAGAAAGTTCCTACCCCGCCGCAAAAAGAACGGGGAAGCAGGTGGACGGCCCGAAGCAGATGATTACAGTGACGACGAACAAGACGACTACGAGGACTACGACCTTATCAATAATACCCGCGCTAACGCTGCCACTAGCCAACAACATCAACCACAGTACGAGGGATATCCTGGGAGTGAAGAGGAGGATGGAGATTCTGAGGGCGAAGTCCCTCAACGTCCACCACGGCAGGTTATGGCTGAACAATCCCCCAGTCCTGAGGAGCATAGCCGTCCGCGAAAGAAGAAGTGGTTCGGCGTAATCTAATGTACTATATTGATACCATTGTGTTCTTGATGTTGGCTGTGACATTTTCTTTTTGCGATCTGATGATTCTATGGATTTCTATGAGTACGATAGTATTTTTTGTTTGATGTATGATTCCCCTAATGCAGCGAGGTTCAAACTGATATGTGATGTTCATTCTATCAAGACATTCCGAGTAAAGCTGAAGTATACAAAAATCGTCGGCTCTCCGGTGTCTTATTAAGCGATTCGGGCCGGGGTGATCTGATGGGATTACATCAGCGGTCTCGACCTCTCACGTGACATGTGCTTAGAAAGCCCCGGACGATGTTCAACAGACTCAGCCCTGATTTGCCTCGGAATTGCTCGAAATCGCCTTAAATCGCCTAGTTTAAACGAATTATCTCTAATCTCGGGTGGTCTGGAAACCCCAGAAAGGCACAGAATCCAATCGCATCCTGTCTGAGGACCCAGTCTCTCTGATCTCATTGCCGGTTTATCAATCAACTTCATCACCTAATCCTGGTCTCCACTGCCCCTCCGAAAAAAGACATTATATCTCCCCCTCCTGTCCCCTTCCCCTCCACTTCCCATACACACCTTCAAGCTGTTTTCCTCCGCCTTTCGTCGTTTTCCCTCCCTTCGATCCATTGGATTGACTGCCGCTGCGGCCACTACCGTCCACCAACAGTCTCCTCCTTCGGCCTCGGTCTTCACTAAGTCGTTTCCGACGCCGTTGCGCGTCAATCCTAACACCGCCAGAATGGTGCACTCTAAAGTAGTCAGTAAGTAGTCTTTGGAGTGGATCGAATGGTCCTGATCATCTTAATCCATCTGATACCAGAGTTCTAACCTCATATCCCCCACAGTTATCGGCTCCGGCCCTGGTGCTCACACTGCCGCTATCTATCTTTCACGCGCAGAGCTCCAGCCAGTCCTCTACGAGGGCATGCTCGCCAACGGCACTGCCGCCGGTGGTCAGCTCACGACCACCACTGACGTCGAGAACTTCCCCGGATTCCCCAACGGCATCGGCGGCGCCGAGCTGATGGACAACATGCGCGCGCAGTCCGAGCGCTTCGGCACCGAGATCATCACCGAGACCATCTCCAAGCTTGACCTCTCCTCCCGGCCCTTCAAGATGTGGACCGAGTGGAACGACGACGAGGGCAGCGAGCCCGTCCGCACCGCCGACGCCGTCATCATTGCCACAGGCGCCAACGCCCGCCGTCTGAACCTCCCCGGCGAGGAGACCTTCTGGCAGAACGGAGTCAGTGCCTGTGCCGTCTGCGACGGCGCCGTGCCCATTTTCCGCAACAAGCCCCTCTACGTCATTGGCGGTGGTGACTCCGCCGCCGAGGAGGCTATGTTCCTGGCCAAGTACGGCAGCAGCGTGACCGTTCTCGTTCGCAGGGACAAGCTGCGTGCCTCCAAGGTCATGGCCGACCGTCTCCTTGCCCACCCCAAGTGCAAGGTCCGCTTCAACTCCGTCGCCACTGAGATTATCGGTGAGGACAAGCCTAATGGTCTCATGACCCACCTCCGAGTCAAGGACGTTGTCTCCAACAAGGAGGAGGTTGTTGATGCCAACGGTCTCTTCTACGCTGTTGGTCACGATCCCGCCAACGCCCTCGTCAAGGGCCAGGTTGAGCTCGATGACGAGGGTTATATCATCACCAAGCCCGGCACCAGCTTCACCAACATCGAGGGTGTCTTCGCCTGCGGTGATGTTCAGGATAAGCGTTACCGCCAGGCTATCACCAGTGCCGGTATGTTCAGACCCCGGTTCGTCCATTATAAGTTTTTCTCGCTAACTCAATTTTCTACAGGATCTGGCTGTGTCGCCGCCCTAGAGGCCGAGAAGTTCCTCTCTGAGACTGAGTCTCTCGAGGACGCAAAGCCCGTGCTCTAAATACATATATACACCTCTTCCCACACCTTCCTCTCCCATTTCTCGTTGTCATGATACATGAACACATGATGTTTGGCCCGTGTATCGAGCACTCTTCTTGCTTCTAGACTTATATTTTAGGCGATATCTCATTTCTAAATTCCCCGTGCATATTTCGATTGGGTTCCTTGCGTCTTTTTCTCTCTTTCTTGTTCCCTTTCTGTTGCCCACGTCTCATGGAAGAGGAAACCAAGTGGTCTTTGTGGTTTTACATCAGTTGGTCTGCTTAGGCTGCTTATACCCTTAGAAATAGAATAGAAGAAAAGCGAGGCTCCTATGTCATCCTCGATAAAAAGAACTCAGAAGGGAATTTCGTTCCTTCCCATCATACAAGCCTTATTAGGAACTCTATTCCCATGCACCGGGTAGTCTATAAGTTACGAGTTTGGAAGCTCTTTTATCAGATTCTCTTAAATGTCTAGATAAGCAAGATCATTTGAATTAAAACTGCCGAATTAAAACTGCCGTTTATGATATGTATCAATATGGCTGAAACGATACTCATCCCAAAAGTCTCTCCAGAGACAAATTACCCTCTTCCCTTAACCGCCGTCTACGCAGATAACCCACCTAACGCCGTAAAAAACGAATGAGTCCTCATTTCTCAGACTTCACAGGCACAGCAGCTGTGAATGCAGTAGCAAGCACAGGCACCGATGACTCATTTTCAGCAAGGTAGTCCGGCATAACCCAATCAGCAAACGGATTCTCCGCGCACCAGCGATCCTTGACGACAAAGGTCTTTCGCTCCCACTCGGCAATGTCGACCTTCCACTTATCCCACGCCTCGGCATTAGCTCGGCGGTTAACCTCCGTCTGGTCGAGGTAGGGCTTTTTATCGGCTGGCGTTGCAGTGCGCCACATCTGGCCTAGCGCAGCGCGGATTTCGTCGCGCGGAGCCTTGGCGTTGGGGTTGTTGGATGCTGCGCGGCGGACTTCGTCGCATTGGTCGCGGCAGCGCGCCCAGTAGTCCTTTTGGTAGAAGAGGAAAGGGTTTAGGCCTGATTTTGCGGGGCGTGGTGGTGCGGAACCGAGCTCGGCGTAGATGGTTGTCCAGAGGGCTTGGTCGTAGGCGTCGCGGCGGGACTTTTCGGTTGAGGTTGGTTTGCGGGAGGTGGAGGTTGAGGGGGGCTTTGGTGGGTTGATGGTTGGGCTTGAGGTGGAGGAGAGGGATGAGCTGCCTCTTGTTCTTTTCTTGATGGTTGAGCCGTTTGGCGTGGAGGATTTGCTTCGGGTTACTTTTGACTTTTCCGGGACAAGTGGGTGAGGCATTGTGATGGGGCCGGATATCGGCTCGATTATTTCTGATGCTGCGCGAAGGCCTGAGAGGTATGCTCCGTGGACGGTTGCTGGGTGAGTGCCGCAGGTGGCTTCACCGGCGAAATGGAGGTTTCCGATTGGCCGGGCCATCAGGTCGTAGTCGTCTGGGAAGGCTGCTGCGGCCACGTAGGAGTAGCTGCCATATGTGAATGGGTCCTGGCCCCAACGGGTGATGATGGTCTCTAGAGGACCGGGAACTTTAGTGTCTTTGAAGACGTTTCGAAGTTGGCCAGTGACCTCCGTAATTATTTCTTCGTCTGATGTAGATTCTGCTTGGTGGGCTGCGTCACCAGCCATGAGGGCAATTAAGCATGGGAGTCCGGTAGTCTTCATGACATTCCAGAACAGATAGAATCGACCGCGGTTTGCCGCGTAATCTTCTTGAACCATAGAAGCAGCGTTATTCGGCTCACGGAGTAGGCCAAACATATCTCGCTTGGTGTCCCAGAACGGCTCTTCGAACACTAAAATGACCTTGTTCATTATTCCGAACCCCAGTCGGTCAATTGCGCCACGCTTCCAGTCCGGAAGAGGAGGCTCGAACTTGATTTTCTGCTGCTTCAGGACACCGAGGGAACCGGTGAAAACGACATGATCTGCCAGGAACTTTTCTCCACCCTCGCACTGGACAACTGCCTTCTGTTTCTTGTTGGACCCAGTCGTATCGTAAGAGATCTCGGTCACAATCTTGCCGGTACGGACATCGAGCTTTTCTGGCAGCATATACAGCCCGTAGGGTAATTGCTGGTAGCCACCAATGACCTGGGAATGTTCACCCTCGAACTCGTTTCCGATGTCCTGGTCCCATCCCGACAGGCTAAGTCTGTTCACGTTGGATGCATTCGCGTACTCGAGATTGGCGAAATGCCAATTCATCAACCGCATATCCTTGGTTGTCACCGGAAGCATGTTTTGATATTGTTTGACACCCTCGTCCATAACTGCACCGAGAGTCTGCGCCTGGGATGCCATGGCAATCTCGTCCAGTTCAATGGTGTCATTGACTGTGTATCCTGGGTTAAGCTTCCATCCAGTTGCCTGGCAGGTCAAGGCTGCCGGGTCATCTTCCGAATTTCCCGCTAGATCGCTCGCCACATCGACGGATGGTTCATTTTCGGCAGTCTTGTGCTTTATTCCCCGTCTAACTCGCTTTGTGGGGACCAATAAATCTATTGTCCCAGCTGCCCTCGCCTCTTCATACTGTCGCACAGTAAGTCCGTCATCCACCGCTGATTCGCGGCCAGTGTCAATCAACTCGCGGTTTCCCTGGGCGGTTGGCACAATCTGAGCTTTGTGACGATAGAATCCGGTTCGGTCGAGCAAATCATTGTACAGCTTTTCTGCCATCGCGTCCTGAACCTCATTCACGGGCGATCCATCGATATCGTAAATCGTCGAAACATCCCGTATCTTGTGATAGTGAAGTGCCAGCTGGCCACGAACTATCTGGTCTAGCGGGTTGCCATGATCGAAGCCGACAATGATCTGAGCACCCATTTCTGCCTTTGGGACAAGCCCATCAGGCAGGGTTTCCGACTTGAGACTGTGCAACGGGTGTGAATAAATGCGTCCACCGACTCTTCGACGTCCCTCGAGAACAACGACTCGGGGCATGGCATTTGAATCACGGTACTGGCGGAAAAGACTCTCCAGTTGACGTGCACACCCCAGACCAGCCATTCCAGCACCGATTACAACAATTGTAGGTCCTTCTTTTCGTCTTCCGCGTTTGGGTTTCACTGGGGCCAATGGAGCCTCCACGCAGCCGTGATTGATGTAGCCATTTCGCGCGAGCCAGTCGTAAGCAAACGAAGCCAGATTCATCCATCGGTAATCTTTGGCACATCCGAGTGCTTCTTCCCTGCTGACAGCTACCATGGGATTTCTCCCCCAGAGAAGCAGTATTCCATTTCGTATGTTGAGGTAGATTGTGACGTGAACGTGGCAAAGATGGTCTTGCAGAAATTCTTGTTCTTGTCGATGAAGAGCATACGGGTTCAGCCGTGATGCATACGCCGCTCCAACACACTGCTCGCCGTAAACAGAGGGGTGAATTTTAGATGGGATGGACGATCTCGGTCGACATTTGGACAGATCAACTTTCCCACTCTCCAAAACATTCGGTCCAAAGACAACTGAAGGCATAGAAAGAGACTGTACGGGCTTGGGTGGAGGTGATGTAGATGCTTTTAGCTCAAAGGAAGATGTCAAGTCAGTTGAGGTTGTCGACTCATTCGGAGTACCGCTACTGCCACTGGCATACAGTCTCTCCGTTGTGCCAACAATGTGGGATCCATCAGACAGGAAGCTATGCGACTTGGCGTTGTTGTTCCCTAGATTTCCCAAGGCAATTGATGCCGAAGCCGCTTCATATGCCTTGTGCGTGATGCGTAGTCGCTTCGCAGGAGGTTCAGATATTTCGGTCGGTTCAGATAGAAGATTTCCTTGACCTTGTAACGTGATCTCGTGATTTGGAACATATTGATTCATGTATGAATCTTGACCTGGGGGAATTCCGGCCTGGAATCTCATGGACGTTGCGCCATACATGTTGATAGCGAGTATCTGCAGACAAATCCTCAAAGGAGGGTGTTGATGATGATAGAAAAAGAAAAGAAAGACACTTCCACGTGCAAGAAGACGTAGTTATGGACTCGAAGATGTGATGTCGACAGTCCTTCTACCCCGAGAGTGTGTGGATATCAAATATGCAGGCGTTCGCCCATGACATGGTCATAGGAATTCGAGCTGTGGCAAGCCGAAGGAACACAGTCTGAATGAATGGATCAACTGTATTATGTTAGATGAGATGTGATACGGTTCAAAATGACCAGGGTATGAGAGAGTAGACCGAGGCAGCACGGATATCAGGACATACATCGAGTTCATCCCCCACAAAAAACCCTCCCAAAGAATTGAGAATAAGGCCCATCAAACAGGGCACGAATATTGTTTTGGAACAAACTAAACGAATTGTAATTGTAATTGGATTGCGAAACTTGAGGAAGAGACAGTGAGAGGACCAGAGTAGAAAAACCCTTGTGGCTTGATTCCTCGGAGCGGGGCGTATTTCTCAGTCCGGCAGGTTGCGGCACCCAAGTTCGTCAACGTCCAAGGGCTGCGCTCTCTATGTTCTTCACTTTAGGATCAATCCAGGGGCTACTTGATTTTCATTTGGTTATCTAGGTTTCAACATGAGTGTGCAGACCATAGGCACCATCCTCCCCTGCGAACCCGTCCGAGTCATTATCGGTGAACTCATCGTGATATGATCTCCTGTTCGAGTTTTCCCAGCCCGGCTGGTCATTGTCACTGTCGTCACCCAAAATCAGGTCAACATTGTCGTCGTCCAGATCAGTGAATCCCATTCGCTCTTCTTCGTCTCTCGCAATTGTGAGAGAGGCTTTGTTTACATCAGGATCTTCTGAAAACCCATGATGAGGGCGGTGCGCTGCATGATCAGCTTGAAGCGAATCTCGGATATCTGCACGCTCTTGGGCTTCGAGCTCCTTTGCGCGGGCCAAAGTTCTAAAAAATAGAGAAGAGAAGGATCAGCATGAGTGCACAAAATATTTACGACCGATGAATTTGGGGCTCAAACCTTTGGTATATATACCACCCGGTGAAGATTCCAATACCGATTGTAAGGATAATACTGCAGATATTCACGGCCTTGGATCCCGCACTCATCTCCTCGCCCTTTTCGGAGAGCAGACGTATCCGACTACCGATGAACGCAGGAACCAACAATTTGGGAGAGATGATGGCTGTGGCAAGTCCGTACATCAACGGCTGCACCGTAGGAAATGTGGACACAGCTCCGTTGCAGATCGAGTAGGGCAGCGGGCATAAACGGATCATACAAAGAAGTTTGAGGCCATCATATTTCAATGTCAGGGCCAATGCGGCGAATCGCTTGTCATGTTCCATAAGACGTTTGACGAATCCAGACAGAATTGTCCGCGAAACATAAAACGAGACAGTCGAGCCAAGAATTGTTGCGGAAGCGTAAATCAACCATCTATAGAAGAAATCTCGAGTTAGCAATATATTCACTTTTTTTTTTTTTGATAAGAGCAACATGAATCAGTCTCTTACCCTTTCCATATACCAAATATAAAACCAGCCACAGTCCCAAATGTTGACCAACCCACAAGAGGTGGAAATGAGACAAAAAAGACACATAGCCACAGGATCAAGGCGGCGAGCCAGGATGTTTCCCACGTCTCAGCGACCGGGCCAAGCCAGATGAACAGCTTCCCCGTTAACACCAAGAACGCGATCCCGGATAGACCCAGGAATATAGCAGCGAAGCAAGCCCCGATTTTTTTCCATAGACTCATCCCCTCCCATATCTTATTCATACGGACATATAACTCTGTGCCGCGCTGGATTATCTGTTCGCGATAGCTTGCACCCTGCCCGCTCGATCTGCCGGTGTTTAGCCTACCGGCGCGACTCCAGGGCGGATGAACATCACTATCAGGAGAAGAAGGTATAGGGATCGGGGGAGATGGTGAGAGAGATAGCGCCCTGGCGGTGGACAGGTAGTCCGCGGGCATTGTGAAATGTATAATCCTGGGGTATCAATGCTCGGCAGAGGATGGTCGAATCCGGGGAAGATGAACCACTGTAAAACAGGGACCGACAGGAAGTGCGATACCAGGGTCGATAGAATATCCAAAGAAGTTTCAAGGGCGTGTCAAGGCCCTGATAGTTGGACCGGACATGGAGGATGAGCCAAGCACTTTTAGGCTGAAAATCAATTTGACTCTGTCAGCGGATCCCGCCGGACTTGAGCTCGGGTGGTGATTGATCTACATGTTGTCTATGTTGTAGGGCTGTCGTTCAGTTATTTTGTGCTATTTATACTATAAGATACATATCTAACTCTATTTTGTATGTCTTTGTATCTATCTATGTCCATATCAGGGATTATTGATTCTGTAAGAGTGTAGTTAGCCCCTAGGTATGTGAAGCTTGTTATTTTATCTACCTATCTCTGTAATGCTATATTTCCTTTAACACTCACATATCTTATTCTTACTATATTATTGTGTTGTTATATTACCCAAACAGGCCGACTGGAGGTAGTTGGAGCTAAGTCGATAAGCTGTTGTGCCCCAGTGTTGATCTCCTTCTCCGCCTCCCCCCTCTTTGTCACTTCACCCTTTATTCAACTCTCATTCACAAACGTCGGTCGGCGGCGATGCGATGTAATTATCTGCTTGTCATCTATCACTCTCGCAACTCTCATCACCTTGAGCTATAACCTTGAAATCACCCTTGGAACCCCTGTTGTTCTTCACTTTCTTTCCCCATCACCTGGCATAGACAGAAAGCATGAGGTACCTCTGATTCTCGACTCGTCTTACTTTCGTCAAGCATATTCGTGCCTATACCTCTAGGCTTCGGACATCCTTTCAAGACCCAATCCCTTCAACGCTAAGGTGTTTTCCCGCTTATCCCGGTCCCTTTCCTCTACACGTATTACACATATCGGAATACACCATGGTTTCCGACGAGCTTCTTGAAGAATGCCTCCAGATCCTGCAGGATCAGGCACTGGATGAGGAGGAACAGGTGGAGAAGGTGGAGGACTTCTTGCGTGCCAATACATCATTGGCAGGGACACCCTTGGAGAATGCGGTGCTGGACATCCTCTGGCGCCATCGCAATCGAAACTTGCCAGACGCATCACCTCCAGTCCGTCATACTGTGATTCGCCGCTCATCGCCTGCGCCATGGCAGATGGCTCGATCATCTACACCGCTATCCCCTCATTCAACTTTGGGGACAAGCCCTGGAAGTACCTCGTGGATGCAAAGCTCCCGTGGGCCGTTCTCGCGGCCTCCGCTATCTTCTACTGCCTCCCCATTTGGGTCTCCACGCCCATCGCCCCGGCTCGCCCTTGCACAACCTATCCCTCATTCCCCAAATCTGAATGCCTACGAGTTCTCGGACCAAAGCCAGATCTCTGACTACTATGGAGACCTTGGGGGCGATAACAATGTTGACTGGCTAGTCGCAGATGATGCCAACAGTACAACCTCATCCACGGGTGGTGTCAGCACTCCCGGGGCACTCAGCGCCACTGCAGTTGAATTTGTTCCGGATATGAGCCCACATGATATCCTGCGCACGGTGCTGGGTGACAAGCGATCAAACGATGAAATAGAAGCTGCACTGGAGGCTAACAGTTATGATCTCGGTGCCACCATCGCTTCGTTCTCGCAGGATATAGAATCCGAGGCGATCTCAAAGCAACACGATGACGGTCGTGTCTTGGTTGGCAAGTCTATGACAATAGAACAAATACGCCCGGTCACACCATTGGGTAGCAGTCGCAGCCCCGTGGTCTGTAAGTACTGGCTATCCACGGGACAATGCCTTCGAGCGGATTGCCGTTTCAGCCATGACCTAAACACACATGTGTGCAAGTGAGTGTTTTTTGAAATCTGAGTAAGTCAATCGTTCTAGCGCTAACTATTGTGAACAGGTACTGGGTTATGGGAAATTGTCTAGCTGGCGATGGATGTCCCTTCTCGCACGATCCTTCGGCGCTTATCGGAAATCTCAGTGTCACGGATAGTAGTCGACCAGCTTCGCCCTCCCCGTTCCAGGTAGACAGTGGTTCTGACGCATTCCCACCCCTGCAAGTGGCAGATAACGGTGATCAATGGGCAAATCAATACACGGGCCGATACCCTGGCCATCTTTCTGCTTATCAACCCAGCAAATATGCGCCTCCTGGCCTCCATCCTGGAATGGGCAAAAGAAGTGGAAGTGCAACTCATCTCGGACGCCCCAGCTCCCGTCCATCAAGCCGTCACCAGAATCGGGAGTTGAATCCTGCTGCACCGTCTGTAGACGATCCAGATGCCTTCCCAACTCTTGCCGCAGTCAATGCTAAGAATGCTGGGAAAAAGCATCATGGGAAACGGGGCGGCCATAACAACCGCGAAACTGGCTCAGGAAAAGAAAATACCCCTTCGTCTCTGGCGGATGTGGTTCGAATGACCCCATCTCCTGTCCCCGGGAAAACCAAATCTGGCTCCAGAAACAAAGATACGAAGGGTCGCGAGAACAGTGCCGCAGCTCAGTCGATTCCACCCCCGCAAAATATTCCGTGGTTAGAGACAGGCTCGCGGGCGAATCAACAATATATCAAATATCGGACAGAGGCTATTCGCCACGGTACTGTGCGAAACAAGTTCCTCCAGAGGTAAGCTTTCAGCGAGTGATATGATCCCCACTCCTTCTAACGATATATCTCCCAGCGCTGCCCAAGCATGGAACCGCAACGATGCCCGAGCTGCCAAAGCATTGTCGTTACGCGGTCAGGCCGAGAACGACGCGATGCGCAGGTGTCATCGGGAGGCTGCACGCCAGCTCTACGAAGAACGTAATCAGCATCTCTCTCACAAGGGATTGGATGAATCCTCAGAAGAGCTTTACGTTGACCTTCACGGTCTCCACCCAGAAGAGGCTATCGAATATCTCGAGAAGATCCTGCTCAAGCATGCTCGAGAAGGCCTCCGGGTGGTGTATGCCATCACAGGCACTGGTCACCACTCGAAGAACGGCAAAGATAAAATCGGCAAGGCCGTTAAAGCATGGCTGAACGAGTGGCGGTACTTGTTTCGGGAATTCAGTGTACCTGGTGAGCGAGGAGGTTATGTCGGAGGGATTCTCGGCATCGATCCAACCAGTTATGACAAGTCAGTAGCCAAGGAGCTGGCTAGCGAATTGATGGAGGCCAACGCTGGCGGAGAGCCTCCCATCCTAACCCTGGGCAAAATCCAGTTACTCAAGCGCGAAGAAATAGAGACTCAAGATCAATGACCTGGCGTGTCATTCAACTCAAGATACCCCAGTACCAATCTATCTATTGAATCTAAGTTGTATAGAAAAGTCGTCTGCACAAATTGAGCCTTTTCGCCCAAATTTGTGACTCAACCACAAGACGCAGCAGATGCATCAAGCGAACACGTCGGGTTCTTCAAGCAATATTTTTAGGACAGATTCTTCCTGGCTGCATGCTTCTATATACTAGCAAGGCTACGGAATACAATACACAGTAGAAAAAGGCTCTTCTCCAGTAGATGCACTCATATAACATACTAGAAGGTACAAGGAACATGCAAGGATATATGCCTAGATAATACACAGCGCTACATATATAAATCATCTACTCTGGTTCCTGATGCTGCCACTCCTTCCTCAAAGCATCAACATCAACCCCACAAGCCTCAGCCTTTTTGACAATAGCCCTAGCCTTATTGGCAACAGGAACATCAATCATCTTCCCATCAAGAGTCCAAGCACCCCTCCCCGCCCTCGCAGCCTTATCATCCGCAATAACAACCCGCATAGCCCACTCAGTCTCATGCGGATCTGGCCCAAAGATCTGATCCGCAACCTTCACTTGCGAAGGATGAATACACTGCTTCCCATTGAACCCCAACCGGCGCCCATCCAGACACTCTTCCTGTAGCACAGCTGGCGGCGACCCATCCCCCTTCTCAGACCTGTACGCCGTGCAGACAAGGTCAATCGTTGACGGTAGCTCCGCCGCCCGCGCAGCGGTGGCTATCGCACATCGCGCGAACAGAAACTCTGTGAGCGAGGGCGTCCGCGTGATGCTCAGGTCTAGGGCGAAGTCTTCGGCTGCGAAGATTAAGCCTTGGAGCAAGGGCGAAGCAGTGCAGATCTGGGATAGGTTTGTCAGGGACTTGGCGGACTCGACTAGAGCCAGGAGTGAGATTGGGGTTCTTGTTCCTTCTGTTGGTGGTTGCTGGGATAGAGTGTGGGTTATGACGTCTGTGACGAATGTTAGGTCGGAGGCAGAGTTGACTTTTGGGATTACGATTGTTGTTAGGTTTGGTGATTGGAGCTGGGACGGTTAGCAAGTTGAATGTTACCAGGGTGGTGGAAGGGGGTGGGAGCTATGTGTGTGTGTATGTTCTGGAGTCCACTCACGACTTCGGTCAAATCACCCAATGCGAGTCCGCTGTCTACGGAATTGATTCGCACGGCGCGTTCCCGGATTCCTGGTGGCGCGGCTTGGTCAATTGCTCTCCGCACTAGCGAGCGCGCCTCTGCTTTCATGTGCGGAGTCACGCTGTCTTCCAGGTCGTAGGTGACGCAGTCGGCGGTCAGTGAGCGCGACTTATCTAGAAAGCGTTGGGAGGAGCCGGGGACTGTTTGGCGTTGTTGGTTAGCTCTGGGGTTTTTCTTTTGGAGTTCGGGGTGAAATGCGGGGAAGACCTCGGGATGCGATGCGGCTTTGGAAGGGAGCTCGAGCTTACCGTAGAGGAGGGAACGACGCAGAGTATTTCGGGCTGCCATTGTCGATATGGTGATTTGTGTGTGTATCCAATGATATAGAGTTGTGTACTTTCTTGGAGAGTGGAGTTGAGGTCTTTATGGGGTTGACTCGGGAAGAAGCCGACTCGGTTATCCGTAAAGCCGCTTCGGGAGAAGGATAGCAAAGTTGTTTTCTCCTTTATATTTCTTTTTCATGACCTGATACAACTTATGAGATGTCTGGTAGTAGCTCTTCTTACTATGCTAACAAGCAGTTCATTTAAATCGGAGAACTCAGTCATAAGTACTCTGTAGCGAAGCTCGATTTAGATATATATTCTTGCAAGTAAACGTATTTTCTGTATATTCCAGATTTCAACTTCGTGTCATTAGGTGTCCAAGTCGCATTCATCTAGCGCTGTATTTCTAGAGTATATCGCAGGCAGCATCCAACAAACATATAACGCTAGTATTACACAAATGTGCTGAACATCAGAGGTACTCTAGAAAAAGGAGTCTGGAGCGGATGCACACAACAAAGATCAATTCACCTTTGAAGAATATCATATCAAGGAGGAGGAACATATCGTAGATGAGATCAAAGAGTCATTAGTGAGTGCCACCAAAACATAATTATAGTAAAATGTTTTCCTAACTCTCGCCTATAATAAGGTAATCTAGATGGTACTTGGATCACCCGAAAACTACTACATACATACTTATGTACTTTATACTCTGCATGTATGGGTACTGCTATGTGCCTTTTGAACTACTTTGGCCTCCTTGTGATTTTGATGCAGAGGTTTTATACTCCGTATAGATCAGTGTCTTATCGGTTTAGCGCCACATACGTTGGACATAACGTGTGGCTGACTGGTATCCACTCAGCATAGTCACGTGAATACCTTTAGAAATTGTCCCGAAGCAGGAGTAATGATCGGATCTTCTTATAGATCTTCTTTAACAATTCTAAAATAACTTCACAGTATGCTAGGATAGATCATGCAGCTCTAGCTAAGTAAATATCACACATCATCAACGAATATACTTAAGGTTGGTCTATGCTTCCGATTATTCTGCCATCAGAAACCGCCTATACCCGTGTTTCGACCACATAGGGAACATCGCCGGTCAACAACAGGCTTAACTTGGATTAAATTGACCCAATCTGCTGACCGAGAGGTCCTTTACATTCATACCATATCAAACCCCTGCCCTGTGAATCATGGACCAAGGACAAGGAGGCCAAGGCGAGCTCAACTGGCGCCTCAGCGCGCACCCGATCACGCTACTTGTCTTCTTAAGTATTCGGATCGGTCCGTATTCCCCCACCCCGAGTAAAAGCAGCAAGAATGATTTGGCTAACTTCATGATTAGGCGCGCTACTGATGTATCTATTTGGTGTACTCTTCATCAACAACTTGTACGGAACCTGCGAACTACCCGCCTGTCAACCTGCGATGCTAACGTTCATGTAGTATCCTCGTCTTCATTTTCACCCTTCTCCTCCTCTCCGCGGATTTCTATTACCTCAAAAACATCGCGGGACGCCGGCTGGTCGGCCTACGTTGGTGGAACGAGGTCGACACCTCAACCGGCGACTCACAGTGGGTCTTCGAATCAGCCGACCCTAACGTTCGCACTATAACCGCCACCGACAAGCGGTTCTTCTGGCTGAGCTTATATGTCACACCAGCTCTGTGGGTAGCCCTTGCCATATTGGCTATTGTGAGACTTGTCGGTGTCATTTGGCTTAGTTTGATTGGTAAGTTACTCCCAAGATACTTTGATATATGCCGGCAGTAGATATTGACTTTGGTTTAGTTATTGCACTCATCTTGACTATCACGAATACCATGGCCTTCTCTCGCTGTGATAAATTTGGTCAGGCCTCGACATATGCCAACTCGGCTCTGGGTGGTGGTATTGTGAACAACATCGCTGGTGGCCTGCTGGGCAGGCTATTCCGGTAATGGTAGGCAGGTTGATGCCTGTCTTGCCGTTAGTGGCCCTACATTGTCATCCCTCTTGTATGTGCTCTGTATTTCTAGCAGGATATTTGACCACTTAGCATTCAAATGCATCAATTTCTTTCAAAATATGGTCTCATTTGTAGCTCTAATGTGATTGAAAACCCGGTCTAATGTAAGTGCTTTATCTCTAGAGCCGTTGCCTCAGGTAGGTCAACGCATCACTCTTTCCTCAAACACGCAGTTTCCACCGCAGCGGCACCTGCCGATTGCCCTTTGTTTTCCTTTTCCTCCTCTTCCCTCTTCATCTCCCTCTTCTTCTCCCTCTTCCTCTTCTCCATTGCCTTCAATCATCGTCAACAAACAGCCTTTGCGTCTACTGCGCTTCAAACCCCACGTTGGTAAGTGTCGTTCTTAGTGTTGACCTTGCACCATCTCTCTCGATGACCCTAGGAGAGCGAATCAGATGAAAATATCGTGCTTCAATTCTCTTATGTGTCTTGTCCCATCTGCCTTTGCCTTCTCTCACCCCTCCCTAGCCCTCCATCGATCCATTTTTTAACTTACGCGCTCCTAACCTTTACCCCAGTGAAGGATACTTCACGACGACAGACTGTTCTGGGGAATTTGACTAACGAGCTTGTGTATCAAGTTGACCAAAATGGAGACAAATATCCATGAAGACCGGAATGAAGATTTTACCTGCGGACAGTGAGTTCTCCCCTCCAAAATTCTAGCTTTCAAGGCTTAGGATATCCCCCCGAGAAAATCAGTCACTTAAAATTCTAGATGCGGTGGATCTGGCCATATGACTCGTCAGTGCCCGAATGCCTCTCTTCCTCTGAGACAGAGAGACAGCAATGCAGGGTAAGTTGGTCCTACACTTTCCATGTCACATTCTGCCAGTCCATCTAACCAATGCTAAAATATAGTGATGCCTATGGCAACTACGGCAACGACAATGGTGGAGGACATGGTGATTACTCCGGTGGTGGCGGTGACCGCGCTTGCTACAACTGCGGCCAAGAAGGGTAAGTCGTTGATATCTGTGTACTTGCCAAATTTTACTGACAACAATGCAGCCATAGCAAAGCCGACTGTACCGAGCCTCGCAAGATGGGGGCATGCTTCAACTGTGGCCAGGACGGGTGAGTTATTATTGAACATCTTGTGTATTACGGCGTTAATTATTCTCTTGAAACAGTCACTCCAAGGCCGAATGCACCGAGCCTCGCAAGATGGGCGCTTGCTTCAACTGTGGCGAAGAAGGGTGAGTAACTGCTGGGCGTTTTATACTTTAGTTTGCTAATTGGCTCCAAATACAGTCACTCCAAGTCCGAATGTCCTAAGCCTCGCGTGTTCAGGGGTACCTGCCGTATCTGCGAAAAGGAAGGCCACCCAGCGGTTGATTGTCCTGAGAGACCCCCCGATGTTTGCAAGAACTGCCAGGCCCAAGGCCACAAGACGATGGAGTGCAAGGAGAATCGCAAGTTCGATCTCAACCTTGTTGCTGACATGCTACCCCAAGAAGGTTGGGCTGCAATGAAGAAAGCCAGTGACGAAAGGGATCTTGATGATTTCCGAGAGGTACCAAAAATCCATACGTACCTTGAAAGTTTCGAACTTTGGCTGACCTAACTCCAGGCACTTAAAATCTACTCCAAGGCAGTCCCCAATGCCACCTGGGCAGACATTGAGAAGAAGATGCGAGAGGATAATTTCAACATCTACATCATTGCTATGGTAATCAATCATCATCGTTCTGATACTTGGGGATGAATCGCTAATGAATGAATTTTAATTATAGGAGGCTGAAGTTGACGATGTCATGAGCCTTATCGATCTTCAGGGAGTACTTGACCGTGAGTACGTGATTGGATTCTTTTTCAACCCCAAGGCGTCGCGTGGCCACCTCCGAGATCGTTGGCCTGCAGATGCCGAGGAGAACCTAGAGCGCATGAAGAGCGCCGGTATTCCCTACGAGCGCAAGGTGCCTAAGTGCCTGAACTGTGGAGGTAAGTGTTTACTTTGAAGATTCCTTATAATATTGCTAAATTCTGTTTAGAGTTGGGACATATCTCCCGCAGTTGCAAGGAGGAGCGCGCCGAGGGCAATGATCGTGTGGAAATCAAGTGCTCAAACTGTGAGGGAGCTGGACACCGCGTACGCGATTGCAGACAGCAGCGCAAGCACAAGCATGGTTGCCGTAACTGCGGGTATGTGGCTGTGGTGCAAACAACGAACTGGATAATGCTGACTTTTATGAAGATCTATTGAGCATATTGCTTCTGACTGCACCGAGCCCCGATCTGCGGCTGGTGTTGAATGCCGGAGATGCAACGAAAGTAAGACCTTGCCCAAGATGATTCAAATATTTCATGATGCTAATGTATCTATTTCAGCTGGCCACTTTGCCAAAGATTGCCCCACTGTTGCTGACCGTGGCCCTCGCACCTGCCGCAATTGCGGGTATGTTAAAATATCATAGCCCCTGCGATTGTCGCTGATTCTAACATCAATACAGATCCGAAGACCACATCGCTCGCGATTGTGATCAACCTCGTGACGTTTCCACTGTTACCTGCCGCAACTGCGAAAAGAGTAAGTGCGATGCATGCCCCAAAGATTCTTGGAAACACAACTGACAACTGCTATTTTAGCCGGACATTACTCTCGTGATTGTGATCAGCCGAAAGATTGGTCGAAGGTTCAGTGCAAGAACTGCGGAGAAAGTGAGTTGATACATGCGTTTTTAATACTGAGTTAGTCCGCTAACAATCCTTAGTGGGTCACACTGTTGTCCGTTGCCGCCAGCCGCCTAAGGAGGAAGAGCCTCAAGACGAACCTACTTTCTCCCCCGGCTCTCCCAAGCGCGAGGAACCTGATCCGCTGAACTCAGAGGCTACTGACCAACAGTTTGAATACAAGCGCCATGACGACGAGGACCTCTGGTAAAAGACACAATTCTATGCCAGAATGGGGTGACTGGAAAGCTCTAAAAACAATAGCGATTTGGTTTCCCTTTATGCCCTGTTATGATCGGCCCCGTATGAGAGTTGTCGGGTGTTGACTGTTCTTGGGATGCTTCACGGTGGCCTAAGATGGACAAGAATCTGATGTTACATATGGGGTCTATCTTTGCTGCTCTCTTTTTTTCAAATCTCGCGATGTGTTTTGATGTTTGCCAGGATTTCACCCATGAGTTTACGATGATTGCTGACCGGCCGATGGTCCCAAAGGAGGATATCTGTTAAGACTTTTCATGCTCTGTTGAGCTCGATTTGATTTGACGCGCCTCCGGATGAATCTGAGGATGGAGGGTCTGGGCAGGAGGCTCTGATCTGGGGACATTTCTGACGTTCATTGTTATCTGACAAGTTCAATCTCAAGGGAACATCCATTTAGTGCATTCTTCTTGACTCATTGTAGACTGCCTAGTAAGATCGTTTGAAGTTGAATGCTACAGGAGTAAGTGAATGACGGCACCAGCTGTAAAGTGAACCGGAAAAAAACAAAACCTTGCGCAATAATTCCGACTCGTATCATACTCGGAGTTCCTCAGTTCGGATCAAATTCCCGAGGTCGGCTTTACTTGGAGTGCCCTATGCCATGATTTCCGATGTCAAACCACATTAACCTTCGAAGCAAATTCCCGTCGATCATTGACTGTTACCTCCTAGTCGATCGTCGTTTTACTACAGCACGTTGTTAGGAGTTGTATTTACCACGTCATTACCGGGTTGATGTATCGTAGGCCGAATCCGGGATTCCGGTGCCCTAACTGGCTCACTCTATCTACTTGGATTAGCAAGTTTTGGCTTTTCTTGGAATATTGTGTTGAATAGTTAATAAAGATTACTATTGTCACTCTATTTACTTAACATTTTAAAGCGATCGACTGCATAATTGGGTAGTATCACGTAAATACAGAGTTGCAGTTAGGCATATCCGAATCGGGCATCCCGTACTCTCGGCTACCCCGTGATTCGGCCTGTGCCGAGCTATAGATTTTTGTGTGACAAAGAGGAAGGACTCTGAAATCCACATGCGTAGGATCAAACCACCTACCTATTTTGGACATTGTAAATTCACCTACCTCGCCTAGTAGTTGGGTGCTAATTGCCGATGATGTCATTACCGGCTTCGGCTATAGCCGGTTTGACGAGCAGGTTTTTCGGGACCTGAGGCCGGTCCGATGTGAGGCTAACACGGAAAGTTCGTGACCCCTTGTCACCATCCCTGCCAAGTGTGCTTGGCGAGTCAACGGTGAAGAGAAGATAAAAATCGAGTAGTGAGCGCAAGGTAGGAAGCAGTAATTGCGCGCAGTGGTTTGAGCCCAATTTCGTGTCCACAGCAATATGTCTTGTGCACATACGCCCGTAGTCCTTCCAGCGGCGATCAGCGGAGAAAAAAAAATGGGGAGTCCGGGGGAACTGGAGAATCTCCAGGTTTCCGTCAAATGCAACCCCAATTGAATCCCAACAATGTCAAAAGTACCCCGAACCACGCGAGAGCCTGTGAACCGTGCAGCTGTCATACACTTCATATCATCGACGGAAACAGACCGTCCATGAGTCCATCGGTGCTGTCGAGGGCTAGAACTGATGCAATCACAAATATTACCGTATTAAGACAGTACTGTCACCGATACCGGACGGAGACCGACTTGGCCATGCGAGGGGGCTCGCATGGCCAACTACGTGCTCCTCCTGACGCCGAATTGCCAGGTGGATCCTTTCGAAACCTGGAGGCATACCGATGATCACCCACTCTCTCGTCTCGGCTGTCAAGATGTGGTATAGTGGCTCGCTCCCCCCGATCAGGCCATGGTGTAGGCATCGCCAATGCAACGTTGCTACTGCTTCTCATTGGCGGCTTGTCTCTTGCTGGTTCTGACTTGATATTAGATGTGGATACTCCCCTTGTTTGACTGTGAAGTTCATAACCTGACTGGTTTCCCCGGACCTGGCTGTTTCGTTGTTGAATCTTCTTTTCTCTGCCTAGCTGCAGTCTGTCCATTTCAAATCCATTGACCCCGGCGAATAGTCTTCCATTCTAGGAATTGACTATAAGTCTGTCTTTCTTCTGTACCCTACAACCTATACACCATATCCGCCATCATGAAACCATACTTTGGCCTTCGGGGCACGAACCTGAATATCATGATCGGTGTTATTGCCGGTCTTGATTTCTTGTATGTTGGTCTTTCCATTATCTACTTTTGAAGTATCACTAACGCGAATTACACAGGCTATTTGGATATGACCAGTATGTCATCGCGAACTGAACGTGCGAAGTCTTGTGGTCCTTGTGCTAACACTCAACAGAGGTGTTATGGGAGGTCTATTGACATTGAACTCATTTGTTAAGGTCTTCCCTGAAATCGACACCACTAAATCGAGTTCATCGACGGGCAGCAACGCGACTACACAGGGTATGCAATTCATGACATCTCTCAATTCATTCATATACTAATTCCGCAGGAATAACCATCGCTTCTTATAACTTGGGCTGTTTCTGCGGTGCAATCCTCTGTATCTGGATTGGAAACTACCTTGGCCGTCGTAAGACCATCTTCGCCGGCTCTATCATCATGGTGATCGGGGCTACGCTACAGTCCTGTGCTTACTCGCTGCCGCATCTCGTTGTCGGCCGTATTGTTACTGGTATCGGTAACGGCATGAATACCTCTACCGTTCCTACATGGCAGTCTGGTAAGGAGTCAGCTCTGTTGAGAGGAGCCCGATGCTAATATTACCTAGAATGCTCCAAGGCCCACCACCGCGGAAAACTCGTCATGCTAGAGGGTTCCTTGATTGCTGCTGGAATCATGATCAGTTACTGGCTTGACTTTGGTTTCTCCTTCCTTGATCCTAGCTCCGTTGCGTGGCGCTTCCCAATTGCCTTCCAGAACGTCTTCGCATTGGTCATCTTACTCTTCGTTCTACCACTCCCCGAATCCCCTCGCTGGCTCATCCTGAAGGGCCGCGAACAGGAAGCTTTGCAGGTTCTCTCCGCGATCCTCGATTTGGATGAGAACGATGCCTACGTACACTCGGAGTTCTCTGCCATTAAGGATGCCGTCCTGGCTGCCTCAAGTGTCAGCTTCCGTGACTTGCTCACCATGGATGAGAACCGCCACTTCCACCGTGTTGTACTCGCCTACGTTAACCAGATGTTCCAGCAGATCTCTGGTATTAACCTGATCACCTACTACGCTGCTACTATTTATGAGAACTCACTTGGAATGGATGGCCTGACATCGCGCATTCTCGCCGCCTGCAACGGCACTGAATATTTCTTGGCGTCTTTGGTCCCTATCTTCATTATTGAGAAGATGGGCCGAAGAATCATGATGTTGATCGGTGCGGCTGGTATGTCGATTTCAATGGCTGTTTTGGCTATTACCACTAGCTTTGAGGGCCAGTCCAAGCCTGGTATTGCCGCTGCTGTATTCCTGTTCGTCTTCAATACATTCTTTGCCTTTGGCTGGCTGGGAATGACCTGGCTATATCCCGCTGAGATTGTAAGGCTCTCATCTCTTCTATTCCTTTACACTAAAACACCACTAACAACGCGATAGGTGCCTCTACGAATCCGTGCTCCTGCCAACGCACTCGCAACCTCGGGCAACTGGATCTTCAACTTCATGGTCGTCATGGTCACGCCTGTGGCATTCGACACAATCAAGTACAAGACATATATTATCTTTGCTGTCATGTGAGTATATTCTGCGCGGAATGCAATAGTGCACGACTAACTCGGCTCCTATTAGCAATGCGTTCATCTTCCCCGTCGTCTACTTCTTCTACCCTGAAACTGCCTATCGATCCCTGGAGGAGATGGACACAATCTTCCATAAGACATCCAACGTCTTCAATGTCGTCTCGGTCGCCCGGAACGAACCCCACCGTTACGGAAAGAACGGCGAGCTTCTCATCAACTACGAGGACACCGCGGAGCACCTGCGTCGTGCTAGCTATGTCTCAGAGAAGAAGATTAAGCTGGCTAGTGGGATGGATGATATGGAGTCTGGAAAGGGTACCCATGTTGAGCACCGCCAGGACAGCTCGTCTGATTAAATTTTAGAGAAGGCATTCTTCTTATGTTAATTATTTACAATGATAATCAACGATTCACGATTCGGTGCATCAAATATTTCATATAACCCTCATGTAGGTCAAAAGGTATCAACGACAGAACTCAGCCACAAATGCCCCATTCAACCTCACGCTGAATCACAACGTGCCATGGCCGCTCACAGCCCAAAGGCCAATCCACCAATCGCAGCAGCTAGGACAGCAGCCAGGATGCCAGTCCCACTGACACCCACACTTGCTGCAGAACCTACTTTCATGATTGGACCAGCTGCAACCCCTCCATCTGTTGAACCAGACGAGGTAGTAGCCGTAGCAGTGACAGCCGACCACAACGTGACAGGCTCTGTCGAGCTCTTAAGGGAAGTCGCCGAGAAAGGAGTCGTGAACGAGTAACGAGACGACTTGCTGCTAAGCGAAGACGTCGCCTCGGCACTGTTTGTCGCATAAACAGACCAGACTGTGTAAGTACTCGTAGTTGTAGAAGTGACCGTCTGAACAGTGTATGGGGAATAAGAAGTCCAGTAATAGAACCAATAAGTCCTATACTACAATCAGCAAAGCATCCACAAACCAAAAACCAACATAATCAGACCACATACCAGTAGACAGTCGTATAATAATAATCCCAATCAACCGCAACATAACCCGCAGTAGCAGTAGTAGTAGCAGTAGCAGTCTCAACCTCCGTCGCCGTAAGCGTAGCCCCAGCCGCAACCCCATCATACTCCCCAGCACAACCCGTCAGCGCACAGCAAACCTTCTCTCCCCTGTAGATCCGACACGTCCTCCCGACCCGACAGTAGTAACCCCCGGAACAGCACTGCGCACCGAGCGGCGCACACCCCGTCGTCCCGCAGCACTTATACCCGAGCGGACACGTCCCGCCACCAGCGCAGCACGTGTCGCCTATCGAGGCACAGTACCCGTTCCCGCAGCACTTCCCGCCGATCCGACAGCAGCGGCTTGTGTCGTATGCGCATTCGCTGTACCCGATTTTGCATTCCAGGGCGCGTGTATTCAGGGTTGAGTTCTCGCCGGAGAGGACTAGGGGAAGGGAGAAGATATCATCTGCATCGAAGGAGATGGAGATGTTGGAGAGGAGTTGGGGCTCGTCTTGATCGGTGGGTGTGCTGGCTGCTATGTTGGCAAGGAGGAGGGATAGGGCTAGGCATGTAAAGGAAGGGAAGAAGATTGGGGAGAGCATCTTGGAGAAAGAAAGCTTGGTGGCTTGGTTATGGTGTACTGCTCTGTTGGAAATGTCGGGGTGGAACTGCGATTTTAAGTCGCTTCCCCTGGGCACTGCCTACATCAATGCGGCTGGATAAAAGATAAATATGCCCAAGCGAGCATGTTTAAGATTGTTGTTCGTATTCACGGGAATTTTTGGGCCATATTACCTATAAGGGTTGGGTTGTTATGTTTGCAAATACGAGGTGTGTCGCTTGGCGCGGGCTCGAGCCGCTTTTTCTTGGTTGATTTACGGGGTGCTCGCTGTATGGGACCGAGAAGAGGGGAGCCGAAACTGCGCTAGATAGTTTGGCTTGCTCCTAGGCTTTTTTCTCGTTGATAACGTTGATGTAAAGGTCTGGAGGTGTTCTTGGCTTTAGGGCTTAGCGATCCTCGTGATAGTGCTCCATTTGGTTAGCTCAGATTCTCATGCAGTGTTTCTTTGTCAAGATGAGAATCAGACTAGCAATTAATTTGGTTTGTATTCGATTCCGAGAAATACACGGTCTTGTTGTAGAGCTCGAGCTCTATCCTTGGACAGGGTCGACGTTGTGAAGAGGAGGACATCTCCGTGGAAAGGAGTATCAAGACTCCTAATCCTAGTGCACCATATCATTTGTCACATATGGAACCTCAAGAAGAGTTGGTATCTCTAGGAATAGCATAGTCTAAAACATGCGTTAGCAGGAGACAACGAACATGAGGAACAGATGAAGTGAAGGAAACAAAACAAACAGGTCTTGATTCAGTCCAGGCCTAAATCAGGCATTAAGGCATCATTATTTACTCAAAATGGGGTTTTGGCCCCTGGCGTCGGACTACATATGCACACTATGATTGTGACACAAGACCTGGCTCTATTTCTTGCGCATGTCAGCTCACTACACAACTATCTCTCTTTTCAGATTCAAGGCTATTTGCAATAAGCCAAAGCTTCATCTTTTGCTTGTACCCGAGCCCTACCATGACCCGATTTGAGTATTTTCGATAGACCACGTGATGGTCCCGAGACCGGCGATCAAGATGTTGATCATAATGAGAATACATAAAAGACTTTGAATTGCGAAAGTAGTTCTGAGTCATTTCGTGGGATGCTGTTTTTACTGGACATGATTCAATGGTATGTCCATAGCATTCTGAAAGCTAGCAGCTAACAGCTTACAGCTCCGCAAGTCAAAGCAGAAAAATTCAAATGTTATAGTCCAAGATATAGAACGGACCAAGACCCATAGGAGGTGAGGATAGCCTCGGGAGAAAAAGATTTAAGGTTATCCTCGGTGAAGAGCTCGTTGGGAAAAAAAACCGAAGGATCTTCCCTCAACCTCAACCTCAACCTCAATCTTGAAAATCTCAACCTCACCGGAGATTTGAATTCCATCTCGGATGTTCAAGTCTATGAGTCACGCGATTCGTGCATAAGACTATAAGACTTCCTTAATATCGGGGACTTTTAAGGATCTTATTGAGGGGTCTTTTTCTCCGCCAAGATCCACCCCTCTCTTTATCAGATCCGAAAACGGAGTATTTTTTCGAGATCCAAGTCAACGTATGTTTATACCTCTCTGACCTCAGGGAAGATAGCCTGTGTCCAGGAGGAATTGAACTATACAAAATGAACAGCCATTGACTCACAATTCACAGAAATCCATCTAGTTGATATCCCGGGCCATTGGCGTCCTTCAATTGGCATTGCTTTTAGCGGCTATTTGCCCGCAAAGAGGCTGAATAAAGATTCTATACACATATAATATTAATAAGACGACAAGATGTCCACCAAAGATCAACATGCCTCTGTCAGCATTGACAAGCAACCTATCTCTGAGGATATTTCCGAGCAGCCAGAGCCTCAAAGCCAGGTATCCTCAGACGACGTCGACTCCTTGGACCATAGCGTGGCCAACATCGAACGAATCTACAGGTAAATCGCCTACCCGAAAGACAATCCAACTTCAGAACCTAACATCCACAGAAAACTGGACCGTCGCATCATCTCCGCATTTTGGGTCCTCTACTTCCTTTGTTCAGCCATCCGGTCGAACGTAGGCCTAGCACAGACAATGAACACAGACTCTGGCCACGACCTCGCAAGTGTGCTCCACCTAACCCGACACGAGATCTCAACCGGTCTCGCCCTCTTCTACGTCTGCTACGTGGTCTTCGACCTCCCGTCGAACCTAATCATGACCCGTCTAAGCCCCCACGTCTGGATGAGCCGCATCGTGGTCAGCGTAGGCCTAATTGGAAGCTGTCTCGCCGCTATGAAGGCAGCCTGGAGCTTTTAGTATGTTCAATTCTCCCGCACCATCCCAATTCATCCCACATCATGTATCTAACAAACCTAGCCTCCTCCGCCTCCTCCTCGGCATCGTCACAGCAGGCATGTGGCCAGGCATGACATACTACCTAACCCTCTTCTACCCACCCTCCCGCATCGGAAAACGCATCGGACAATACTTCACAGCCTCGCAAGTCTCCGCCGCCGTCGTCGGACTCGTCTCAGCCGGGTTCCAAAAAATGGACGGCGCCCACGGCCTCGTCGGCTTCCAGTGGATGTTCCTCGTCTACGGCGTCATCACCGTCGCCCTGGGCTTCGGCCTGCTCTGGTGGTTACCGGACAGACCCACGGCGCCGGGCGAGTCAGCGCCGAAACGCACCTGGATCATGCGCTGGGTGCCTGCTACCGCGCCGGCGCTGAAAGGCGCTGACGCCGTCGTGCACTACCATGACCTGAAGCGCGTGTATCACTCGTCGGCATGGACGCTGCGGGATCTGCTCGCGGTGTTTTTGGATTGGAGACTGTATCCGCTGCTGATTATGTACTTTGGTGTTGTGGGTGTTGGGATTGGCGTGCAGTTGTATGCGAACTTGATTATCAAGGCTATTGATCCGACTTTGAGTGATGTTTCGTTGAGTTTGTTGACGGCTCCGATTTGGATTGCAGGTTTCCCCCCTCTTCTTATCCTTTCCTCCTTTCTTTCCGTCCAAGATCCATCCGCTAACACATCTATAGATGGACCTCATAGCCATCCTCCTCGTAACCCCCCTCTCAGACCGCTTCCACCGCCACCGTGCAATCTTCTTCTCCATCCCCGTCCTGCTCCAAATTCTCGGCCTCCTCCTAACAACCTACGCGGGCACAGACGCCAACCCGTGGCCACGGTACGGCGGCCTCCTAATCGTCGGATTCGGACTAGGCCCAACAGTCCCGATAACCATGACGTGGACGACGGAGATCTTCCAGCCGCGACACGGCGAGGTCGGCGTAGCCGCTGCGTCGGCTGTTGTCTCCGGACTCGGGAATCTGGGCAGTATCCTCACGACGTATGCGCTGTATTCGGGCTGGAAGAGTGACTACGAGGCGCCTGGGCGTGAGAAGTATAGGAAGAGTAACCTGGTCATGATTGGGATTCTCGGGGCGAGTATTGTCTCTGCCGGGTTCATGGAGGTTATGTTGCGCTTTGTGGATGGGAGGTATCGGGGTGGTGATGATGAGGGGGCGGTTGATGGGGCTGCCAGGCGGGAGGTGCGGCAGCGGGGGTTGCATGGGTTGGGGGCTGGGGTCACGCGTTGGTTGAGGATGGGGAGGTGATCGGTAGACTTGTGTGTGGCCGTGGTGCAACGGTGAAAATGTTGGCATATTTCTCTAGATTTTCTGCTTGCGTGGACTTTTATAGAACTATAGAAGGGAATGAATACGATCTACTTTATAGATGGAGAATACCTGCTTCGTTCATCCAGATCCATGCTTCTACAAAGTTGGTCGTGCTCGGCTATTTGATCCTGTCATATACTCCATGCTCTATAAAGGGGAAGAAGCTTCCGTTGGATGCTGGAGTGATACTAGATTGAGTTCAAGATCCTTCCATGTGAGATCGAAATACTCCGAGGTCTGATTAAGATTAGACCAATGAAAAAGGAATACGAAAAGTACAAGAGCAGCAATTCGGCGTAGGCGTAAAACAAAGTTGAGGTCAGTAACAATTGAACTTGGTATTAATTGTCGATTCTCCAGAGGAACGATATCAGTATGATATCTCTCGATAAACGATGGTGTGGTTTCCCCATCCATGAATATTCTATGCTATTGTACGTGTCACATTACCCTGTGAAGGGAAGTCGAGAGAAACAGAAAAAAATAAGTGCGGCTGGTGCAACGAGGGAGGGCCAGCAGGAACGCATAGGCGGACACTGGAACCGGGAGAAAGAAAGGGATAGAACGAGAAGAAAGACAGGAAGAGGAAGAGAGAAAAGGCAGATCACAGAACATCTATGGGGGCTCCCTCACGCAGTCAAGCCGCTCTGGTCCGACTCCCAGGTTGACGCCGAGGGTATCGGAGCGCTAAGACCAAATGATTCCAATCCATTTAGATGCCACCACACATAGTCTCAACGATGATACCGGTAATCTGGTAGGGATCAGCGTTGGAAGCGGGGCGACGATCCTCAAAGTAACCCTTGCCGTCCTTGGCGCACTGGCGGGGGATACGGATGGAGCCACCACGGTCGGCAACACCGTAAGAGAACTTGTCGATGCTGCCGGTCTCGTGGCGACCGGTGAGACGCTCCTCGTTACCCTCACCGTAGACGGCGATGTGCTCAACGTGGCGGGCCTCGAACTTCTTCATGACGGCCTCAATAACCTTCATACCACCATCGGCACGAGTGGCGTTGGTGGAGACGTTGGAGTGAAGACCGGCACCGTTCCACTCACCCTTGATGGGCTTGGGGTCGAAGGAGATGCGGACACCAAACTCTTCAGCGACACGGTGGAGAAGGAAACGGGACATCCAGAGGTGATCACCCACTTAATTAACAGTTAGTCTCAGATATTCATTGCAATCCGGGATTGCGAAACTTACTATCGATGCCAGGGCAGGGGCCAACCTGGTACTCCCACTGGGAAGGCATGACCTCGGCGTTGATACCAGAGATGTTGATACCGGCGTACAGGCAGGCACGGTAGTGAGCCTCGACGATATCACGGCAGTAGACCTTGCCGGTACCGACACCGCAGTAGTAAGGACCCTGGGCACCGGGGAAACCGCCACGGGGCCAGCCGTAGGGCCACCCATCGGTACCGAGGAGAGTGTACTCCTGCTCCAGACCGAACCAGAAGCCCTCGCTGGCGTGAGCCTCCATCAGACGGTTGGCATCATGACGGTAGTTGAACTTGTTGGGGCTTCCATCGGCATCCCAGGTCTCGCAGAGGACAAGGATGTTGTCACCCTGGCGGAAGGGGTCGGGGTAGTAAGCGACGGGGCGAAGGTAGACATCGGAGTTGTCACCGGGGGCCTGGTTGGTGGAGGAACCGTCAAAGTTCCACTCAGGGAGCTCATCAACACTCGTGACGGGCTTAAAGAGAGTCTGTTGGATTCCCGTTAGTGAGTTGTTCGAGGGAGCGCGGTCTCACGTGACGGCGGGTGGCTGCGTCGCATAGATCAAGAATCCCTGTGCACCATATCCGTGCACAGGGCTTATCACAGCCGGGAGGGGATTCCAGATAAGAACACGCAGCAACCACGCGCCGACAGTCCACCGTGTGTAGCCAGAGAAAACGTGGGAATTGAGATGAGTCATACCTTCGTCTTGGAGCGAGTGCCACCGTTGGAGTCAATCCAAACGTATTCAGCTTGAACGCGTCCACGCTGGTCAAGGTTCATGTATTTCATGAGCTGTTTCAGTCAGTATATGTCATTCCTCACTGGCTCGAAGGCCATTGTGGAAATCCAAAATCAAGAATCAAACGCACATTCCCCGTGTTGGAGACGACAGTTGCAGATTCGGACGCCTGAGAAGAAGCGGTCAGCATTGGTTCTACACGCACAAGAGAGAGGGATGACTCGTACCATAGTGAATATGGGTATGTGTGATGTTTTAACAGGTTTTCAAGCAATCAAGCAATGACTTTTGTAGAGAAGAGTCCCGAAGGAAGGAAAACACGAAGGGACCTCAAGAATAGAAAGCGAATTGGATATGGATGGGAGAATCCAGAGGAGAGAATGAGTTTTAAAGATGTGGAGGGGCAAGGGAGGGATGATAACCTTTGGGAAAAAAAAAGGAATTTAAATTTAGTCACTGACTTTCTCTTTTGGGAATTTCTTTTTTTATTTCTTTTGTTTTTTTCTTGGCAAAATCAGGAAGGCGCGGCTCAGCCACTACCTAAAGGGGTCAAGCGTGGTATCATCGCTGTAATGGTCTGTAAAGCGGTCGACCGATACGGGGTACAGATAAAGTACCTCATACATATTTGTGCGCGTCGGCAAAGCCTTTCCTGAAACGTTGGGGAATTAAAAAAAAAAAAAGCCCTCACTCTATTTTAGTGCTTCTCCGTTCTCCGTTCTCCGTCCCGTCAGTATTCTCCAGTTATTTCAATATACCATTTTTAATGCCTCAATATCAAAATAGATCGTCTACAATGTCACAAGGACCTCTTAGTTTTTCTTAGTTTTTCTTCAGCCGAGCGGAACGCCGTAGCCTGTGAAGTTGCAACTTTTCACCGAGATTCAACGCCACTCATTAACTTCCGTGTCATCATCGTCGCATCATCCAGACACCCGCCGGCCCTCGCCGGCGGATCTGCTATTATACCGCGTTGATTTGTTATATTCGAATCTAGATGTGACTAGCACTACTCCGTATCCCGTATCCATTTCCCTCCGTATTCCGTCCTCCCGGACAATGTAGCTCTTCTCCAGACTTTCATCTCCGCATCTTGTCGATGTCTATCAAAACCGCTCCCGCCACCCGAACCAGTCAGATTTCCGTGTACTGACTGGCGATAGCCCTAACTAGCGCCCAATCAGCGGTCAGGCCTTGTAACGAAACTCTATGAAATGCAATAATCTGAGCAATCGTTCTTCTCCCGTTGGACCGATAAGATATATAGAGGCACCGATTACAGGGGTGATGTTGTGGAAAGCCGAATCTAGCGCATGGCATTTCCAAGATATGGTGTTCTTATCCTACGGCGTTCTCTCCGAAGAACCATCCCACGTCTTATCCGGGTCTTCAACCCCCTCAGATACACATCCTGCCCTCCAATGTAAACGTTTCCAGATCCATGCGCAACAGATAGTCGGTGATACGTTGGTCATGATTCTTAGCAACCGACGCCAGGGCCCTTGGACCGAGCACATATCAGCTGCGAGTCCCGCAAATACATGGGGCAAGTATACACACCGAGGACTCAAAAAAAAGCAACCTGAATTCTAGATGGACTCCTTTCTCTTCAAAGTGGAATATATTATCTGTATTTTGCAATTTTTATCACGCGCGCGTTGCGAGAATGGCTATCGAAATATTGTAGTATACGGCTAAGTACTCCACGGTTCCTGATCTCCCCTCGGAGCTATCACCAAATGACGATCGCGCGATTCGTTATCGCGGCCATGTCAGATGACTGGCCCGTACAGATATACTCAAGTAAGTAAAGTTGTAACTTTTATACGCGCTCTTCGTCGGCCTTTGCATATCTCGTTCCTGCAGGACGTACCCGCTCAGTACCATCTGGACTTTATCACGCGAGTCGGACCGGTATAGAGTACATCCACTATACCTCTGTAATACAAGACTAACCCCATCGACTGGAGAAGCCAGCCACGCCGCAACTTGGGATCGATCAAGTCATAGTCGGGCCAGTGGGGTGGACCGTGGCGAAAGGTTCTCGAAACCCCCCGGCGTGACCAATAAGACCCTTTCTGCTAGGGCCACCCCGACACCGGCCATGGATAAGAGAATCAAGGCAGTATTACAGGTCAACAGGGCATTTCGGTTATTCATATGTGTGATTACAATTATGTACTGTAAGAGTCACGAGTCCGAGGGTGATTTTTGGGTTGTGGTCTCTTAGGTAAACGCACTGAAGTTTATATTCCAATATGGATACACAAAGGGTATGCAACTCGGGGGATTTAGGTCAGGGATTCTCCAATGAAGAAGAAAAGTGGCGACGAGATCTCCTTCCCCCGTATTTTCTCCGGCAAATGGAAGACTGGCAAATGTCGGGAGTTTCAGGAATCCAAGGTGACTTGAGTGGCTGAGGATCCGATCTTCAGCCCTGTCTTTTCTCCAGGTTTTGCTTTCGATATACCATGGGCTACCGATCCTTCGGAGTACGGAGGATTCCGTAGCTGAACAGGATTCCAATTTCGAGCATCTAAATCCGTCTGAAGAGTTTGCAGGTGTATTAATAGCATGGCTGACCTCAGACATCTAGATTCGGGCTTAGTCACCCAAGACCGGGGGCTGTGTGGTACTGTGTACCAGTAGTACATCGTAGTACTGTGAATACATCTAAAACAGCAGAAGCAAAGAAACCAATATAATTCATTCATGCATATATAAAATTCAAGAAATAATATGAAAGATCAGGTTGCAAGCCTCAACCCCCCATAGATCGACATCCCCCTTTCTTATCGCGCCCCTCTCATTGGTTCCTAGCGCCAGTGACAAACCACGCTGACTAGAATCTCGCACATTCAACTGATATTCACGTAATTGCTTGCTCCTTATTTGCCCAGTCGATTGAAACCAGGTCAGCTGTTCCATATCTGGCCACAAAATAGTCGAATTCCCTCTCCTACGGACATG